AGTGTTATTTTACATTTGATTATTCAATTTCTGTACCTGAATACTGTTAGACTTACCTGAAAAATATAAAGCACTGCTTATTTCATTTGTATCTTTGTTCTGTTATTTATCGATGCTTGTAATTTGTTTATTTCCTATGCTGATTTACTCGCCTACAAAATCACCCCAATCATTTTTTTCCCCAAATAAACTATTCAAGTCATGTGGGGATTTTTTTTTTCTTTTCATATTGCAATATATATCGCAGAAAAAAAAATATTGCAATGTGAGTTTTTTCCAATATCGTGCAGCCATACAACCTATTCGATATTCTATAATTAAATCAACTAATCGAATATTCGAAAGTCGTGACCCATCCCTAATATACAGTATATATATATATATATATATATATATATGTATGTATGTATGTATAAATGTACATTAAATACATAATTGCAAGAGCTCATAAATCAAGTAAACATTCCAATAAGGAGTCTAAGAAATCTCGAGCGGTGAGCCCACTTTCTGTTATACATCCATAAAAGCATTTAGCCACTAAATGTGAGAAGAAAAGTTTCCTAATCAGGGAGGCATTGGAGCATAAGACAGCAGAATTACACATTATGAAGACAAACAACAAGCTCATTAGCGTTAACACACAGTGTGGTAAGTGCCTGAGGAGCAATTCTCCAAACCCTTGAGGAAATTCCCATGGTCTGCTGTAATGTGCTGGGCTATATAATGTAATGCTTTATAGTAATTGGGCTTCTTACTGCGTATTCCTTATAGAGTCTGTCCACAGGGCTTTAATCTCAACCTACATCTATCTTTGCTAATGCACGTTTCAGAGATCCTAGGAATATCTGATGAGCTCTGTGATGTGACTGTGGAAATGCAGTACTAAACAGCTTTCCCAAGAGTGGGTTCAGCCCCACAACTTCAAAAATGCTGTTCAAAACAACTTCAAAAATGTACTTTTTTATGCAGATTTATTTAACACTTTCCACCCCATTACAGCCAGATTAACTGTGTGAGAAACTTCTCACTGATAGAGAGTGTAGGCAGCTGGAAAGGTTATTTGGGTGTGGATGTGCGACAGTGGAAAACTCGTTTTTCTAGCCTGTGACGCCAACACAAGTGCCTGAGTCATCTTGTATTTGGGTTAACTCTAAACTCAGCGTCCATTGTCGATTTCAAACACATATAAATATATAACACATCCAAAATATAGTGAGCCGCCTATCTATTTACTGCCTACATAGGCTGCTGCCTTTTAAGGGAGCATTGTACCTGAAATAGAACCTCTTAAGCGACCGATTTGGAATGCTTTTCATAGGCAGCAACTCTCAGTGCTACATATTAAGTGCTGAAGCATGGAGCATTAGTTTGATGTTAGCTTGTTATTAAGTTAATGCGATGCTCCTAAAAGCATAGGAAATGTATAGCACACAAATAATGTATTTTTATTTAAGATTTTCTCATTTTTAGTTTGTCAGTGCATTCTGGTATTCCCTTCTTTGCTAAGGAATTAATTGTGGCCTATTCTTAAAAGGCAGCATGATTTTGATGCCCACCTTTTGGAACAGCTTTCACATTATAAATTCACTTATGATGCCTTAAAATGCTATGAAAGAAGCTCACAGTGTTTTGAAACAAAGCTCATGTGTCAAGCTGAACTGATGTAGCATTTACCGGCTGTTTGCTCTGTGATTTTGTCCTGACATGTCTCTGTTTGCTTCCAGGGACACTTCGGGACAAGGCAGGTTCTGCACCATTTTCCGGTCGTACTCCAGGGGAGCGCAGGTAAAAGCACTTTTAGTGTTCGAGTTTCACCGTTTGTTCTCACTCTGAGGATTGACGTTGTACTAAGTGCTTTGCTGAAGGTAAAAATGGACATACATGACATACTGCTTACATAACCTGCTAGGATATACCAATATGTTTATATAGTTTGGTTTAAAAGTCTGAGTCCAACAAGAAAAAAATCACTACTGGGCTTGGAGTGTATTGAAATGGTTTTGCGTAGTGTAGTTCATGTCCTGTAAGTGCTGTTAACGTCCCTCTTCACTGCATGAACAGGATACCGGCTAACAATACATGTTTGTTTGCCCTCTACAGGGGATCCTGTTGGTGTATGACATCACCAACCGCTGGTCGTTTGACGGGATAGACCGCTGGATCAGGGAGATTGATGAGGTAACATTAAGCTGCTCCTTATGATAACAGGAAGTGCGATCACTAATATACATATAGTCCTGTGGGCTATAAGTTTGAGACTGTTAGATAGATGTCCCTGCTTTACTGCATGTGTGTGTATTCTTAAAAGAATATTGTTCAGTATTACAGCAAGTTGAACCCAGACTCCTAGCATACAGTGTCACTGTTACTCTTCTTTCCTTTCCTCCCCCGTTCCTGTTGCTGTGTTTGATATCCAGAGAGGATGTCCTCTCTTACTACAGCCCCATTCCTTTTAGGCTACTCTGATACGGTCTCTTCCTTCCTTCCTTGTTCCTTGTGTATATTTAAGTGGATATGTGTGGACATCTGTGCTTAGGGAGTGTGTGTTTGTTGCGTGGCTGAAGATTTCTTCACACAATGAGCTGCAGAAAGCACAAACCGCACATATGACAGAAAGAGGGAGCGTGTTGTATTAGTTGGCAGCAGAGACTTAAACTTGAGGACTTTAGACCTGCTTTGGTAAATATTAGAATACTTGAGGCTCTGCTTTGACTTTGCCACATTTACTTGAGTCAGACTTAAGCTGATGATTCACAGTGAGTCATTTCATTACAGAATGAGCTTTGACCTTGCAGAGCTTCGGAAGGGTGCATGGTGCAGTGCTTTGCTCAGTAAACTTCGAATTAGTGTAGGGAGGAAACTTTTAAGGTCTCTTGCAGTCAGTTGATAAACATTTTGTAATCTAAGGTTGAGACATTTTAGGTTTGTAGTAGTGCTGTCAAACGATTAATCGCGATTAATCGCATCCAAAATAAACGTTTTTGTTCTAATAATATATGTGTGTGTACTGTGTATATTTATTATTTATATATATAAATACACACACACAGTATATATTTTGAAAATATTTACTTGTATATATTTATATTCATATAATTTATATTATATATAAATATTTTTAATATATAAACATAACACTTTTTTCTTAAATATATACATGCATGTGTGTGTATTTATATATACATAATAAATATAAATAGTACACTCATATATGTTATGTAAACAAAAACTTTTATTTTGGATGCGATTAATCGTTTGACAGCACTAGTTTATAGTTATGTTCACAAAATATTTACACTACCGTTCAGAAGTTTGAGGTTGGAAAGATTTTTTAATGTGTTTGAAAGTCTCTTATGTTCACCAAGACTGCATTTTACAGAAAAAAAACAGTAATATTTATTTATTTTTATTTTTTTGTGACATTACAATTTAAAATAGTTGTTTCCTATTTTAATTTATTTGAACATGTAATTTATTCCTGTGATGGTAAAGCTACTCAAAAAAAAAAAAAAAAAAAAAAAAAAGCTTTTCCGTGTACAATTCCATCAATTTTGATACCCTTGCAAGGACACCTTTCCTAAAATATAAAGGTTATATTTTTTTCATAATTGAAAATTAAATTACAAAGCTCTTCAGTGTCACATGATCTGTCAGAAGTCATTCTAATACACTGATTTGCTGCTCAAGAAGCATTTCATATTATTATCAATGTTGAAAACAGCTGTGCTGCTTCATATTTTTGTGGAAACTTTCAGGATTCTTAGAAAGTTCAGATGATAGACCGTTCAAATGAACAGCATTGAAATTAAATGGAAATTCTTTGTAACATTACACACTGACACTTTTGATCATTTTAATGCATCCTTGCTGAATAAAAGTATTAATCTATTTAAAAAAACTTACTGACCCCATACTTTTGAATGGTAGTGTAGATATATTTTTCCATGTATATTACTAGTGTATACATTTTTGTTTAAATTTTTTATTGCTGCCAATAATGTAACATTATTAATATGTATTCATCAGTAAGTAATAATCAGAATTCATCATTAAAAAATTAAACCATATATTACTAATACATAATATAATACATTAATACTATTACAATTTAAAATTAAGTCCTAAAAAGTAAAATCAATCATTTTGTTTTAAATGTAAAAATAAATGTAGGCCACATTGTTTTTTTAGATTTCCTTTAAAATTTGCTAAAGATAACATTGAACTGTGTTAAATTATTAGTGTTTTCAATGATTAAAGGAATGAGCATAATTATTCAATATCCGATATCAACTAATAACTGATATGATACTGATATGAGCTCCTAGAGATGGCTGAGTGCTCTTTTCTCTGTGGACTCGAGAAAGGCACAGATATGATATGACAGGCCTCATTGAATAAATAAATGAGACAGGCCAGCTGTGACACTGTTTGAGATTCACTCAGCCTGACAGGACTGTGTATCTCCCTCGTTCTCATCTCTCCGGTCCTCCCATCCCCCTTTTGTTAACCCACTTTCTTGTCTCTTTGTCTTTCCTCAGCACGCACCTGGTGTACCCCGTATTCTTGTGGGTAACCGGCTGCACCTGGCGTTCAAGCGACAGGTCCCCACAGAACAGGCACGGGCGTACGCAGAAAAGAACGGCATGACGTTTTTCGAAGTGAGCCCTCTCTGCAACTTCAACGTCATCGAGTCGTTTACAGAGCTGTCGCGCATCGTGCTGATGAGGCATGGCATGGAGAAGTTCTGGAGGCCCAACAGAGGTGAGTCTTCCTCAATAGACCGATGATACACCAACATCTCTTCACTTTGAAATCAATGAAAAAGTGGCGAAAAGGTCCATTCTTTCTGCTGTTTTAGAGTGTAATCCCACAAATACAGTGGAGATCTTTGGTTTCAGCCTTCTGGGTGATGCAGGAAGACTGGCATGATCAGCATAGCTTTCCATTAGAATAGGAAACCACACTGTATGTCGTCCAGAGCTGCATAATTAGAGGCAGAAGGCTTTCAGTGAAGCACTTCCTTCTCTGTCTGTTTCCACTATTATGTGGGATTTTCCCATGAGACCTCACAGTGCCACAGATGAGCTGTTTAGCAGAAGCAGCATCCTGCAGTTCTGAGAACGGGAAGCGCTTTCAACATGCCTTTCAAAATAGCAGCGATTTATACTCTGTATTGCTCTCCTAGGCTGTTCATGCAGGAGCAGAAAAGATTCTATTCAAAGGTTTGGGGTCTGTAAGAGTTTGTTTTTTGAAAGAAATGTATACTCTTATTCAGCAATGGCAAATTAAATTGATCAAAAGTTTCAGATATTTGTAACACCGAAGTTACAGAAGATTTCTATTGCAAGTAAATGTTTTTTTTAGCTTTCCGTTCAAAGAACCCACAAGTTATTAAGCAACACAACTTTTTATAATTGGTGGTAATATGAAATGTTTCATGAGCACCAAATTGGCATATTAGAATGATTTCTGAAGGACTATGTCACAAGAATAAATTAAATTTTAAAATATTGAAATTGCATTTTAAAATGTTAATTGTAATAATATTTCACAATATTATTTTTTACTGTACTTTTGATCAAAAAATGCAGCCTTAGTGAGTGTAAGATATTTCTTTCAAAAACAATAAACAATACTGACCCCAAACTTTTGAATTATATTATATCATATCATATATCATTTCATTTCATTGTTGAAGGCTTGCTAACAGCACCATGTAGTTTCTTTGCTAAACATACCAAATGTCCTTCCCAGAGGTTTTTCCTTGTAGATCACATTCTAACACAGTTAACTAATATTCCCATGTCAGGCTTCCCATGTGAATCTCATTTGCATTCGACTCCATCTGAACTTAAATGCAGGCAGCGTGTTAACATCTGCTGAGGGAATGTTGAATAATTTAAAACATTCTCATTACTTTTGTAAAGAGAATAAAAAATGATCTCAGCATGCAGATGCATGGAGGCAGCTACTGTTGAATCCCTGGAGTATCACATGCTTATTTCTTTTGTTTTTATGGTTCTATTATGTAACCGTTCAGCTTGGTTCTGATAGCCTTTGCCTTGTAACTCAAGTGTGTGTGTGTTCTGTCTTTGTGTCGTTGCAGTATTCAGTCTGCAGGACTTGTGCTGCCGTGCCATTGTGTCCTGCACCCCTGTGCACCTAATCGATAAGCTGCCGCTTCCTGTGGCCATCAAGAGCCATCTGAAGTCATTCTCCATGGCGAATGGCATGAACGCCGTCATGATGCACGGACGGTCCTACTCACTAGCCAACACCGCCGGAGGCAGCAAAGGCAACAGCCTCAAACGCTCAAAATCCATCCGGCCGCCTCAGAGTCCGCCACAGAACTGCACCAGGAACAACTGTAAGATCTCCTAGCCTCTGGGCACAGGGGCGGGGCCGCCCCCCTCCCTTCCCTTACATAACACTCAGGTGCACACGGACAAACACACAAGGAAACCGACACAAGGCTGGGCCGATGACGCAACAGAGGTGTGGCGCCTCCCGGTGTGTGGAGAGCAGGATGTGAACACTTCCTGCCACCACAGACGGCTACATTTCTCCCCTCACATTGCTGCAGTACAGTTGATTCCTCACTCACAGGTCGTGAATGAGAACAAACCCATCGTCAGACTCTGATTTTGTTGTAGTGACCACCGACAGCATGTTTCCTACCACGCTAGCGCCCTCTGCTGGAGAGTTCATGCCGCTCTAACCCGGCGTTGGCTGAGAGGCCTCGTTTTGAAGTTGTTTTGTGGGCTTATAATACGCTTTGGTTGTGTTCTCTTTTGCTCATACTCATTATGCTCAGTGCTCTGCATATGGTGTTCCTCTTTTTTGCTCTTTGTAGGGAGGGACCTGTTCTCCCTGCAAAAACTGAAGTACCTCGGTCACATGGTCTTGCATGCTTACCAACAATGAGAAGAGGGCTGATGCGAAATGACATGTAGTGCTTACGTATGAACTGATGTATTAAAAATGTGATTTGCACTGCAAATTGGTGGTCTCTGAATTTGCTGGTCGTTTGCACAAAGACTGTGTTGTTGAATGTGGACTGTGGGACCACTAGGCTGAGAGCGACGGCACAAGCATTTCCAGGCACCTTCTGTTCACAATCTTTCCTCGCTGAAGATCCAGAAAATGCTGTTGTTGGGTCAGAACTGTCTTCTCCTTAAACACGGATTACAGGAAATTTCTCCTCGGGGGACAGTATTGGGAAAGGTTTTTTTTTGTCTTTGTTTACTCGCGGCTTCTCCTCGCTTTCTCTGTTTTGCTTTTTCCTGCATGTCTTGTGGGATCATTTGTCATATTTACAATAGTTTTAAGCTTATACTGTACTTGCCTCTCTTCTCATGTCCAGAATTCAATACCACAACTGCCTTGCAGCCCGATTTTCTCACTCAAACCAACACATTTCAGTACTTTCCCTTTATACTTTCCGTGCAGTTACAAGTTTCCACCCTTTTCTGGCTAAAATGCACGATGATTTCAAAGTTTTCAGTGTTGCAGCATGAGTTCAAAAGTCAGGTTTTTGCTCGAAGCCCTTTTAATCTGCATATACAGCATGGCTTCTCTATAGATGTATGTCAGAATGAAGGATAATGATAAACCCATTCAAGCTTGCTTCTAAATATCAAGCACAAACAAAACAAGTGGAATCTACAGCACTTCCTTTTGCTTCTCCCAACGCATTTCTTCCAGGTCTGATGAGCTGTAGTTATTGAATAATGGATGCTCTTCATTTCATCAAACCTCCCAGCAGTCTTTTCCCCCTCTCTCCTCCACCCCTTCATCTCAGGGATGAGCCCTGGCCTCCAGCGGCAGACCTGCCCAATGAAGCCGGTTTAAACCAGACTGAGCGACGGGATGCCTGCAGGGGGCGTTTAAACTTGCCCAGAAGGCTGTGAGCTCTCGGTGTTTGACCTATAAGCCTTTTGCAGTCGCTATAGCTGATAGAATGATCTTGGCACATGTTGGCAGTTGTGCGTATTGGTGTCCATCTGTTGGGTGACGTAAATACTAAAGGGTCCACAGAAGGTGTTATTGCCCCCCCACCCCCCTCTTAATCTTTGAATCCCAAAAGGTAGTGGTAATAGAAATACTACAAAGAAGTGTTGTTTTATTCCTTTTTGGGCACCTGTAGGTATTAGTTTAACCCTCTCGCCTGAGAGCGATGGTTGTTCTTCTTTGTTATATGCACATCATATTGTGCAAAGAAATTCTGTGACTTAGCAGGTTCCATTTCAACTTTTGTGTATTGTAAAGTGTTTTTCCTCTTTGTAACTGAAGCCTCTGATTATATTTTAAACACGCTCATGGTTTTTAAGTCGGGCAGTGTGATGGGACCCTCCTGGTGTTGCCAAAGGGGTGGTTTCTTTAGTTCTGTGTGAACGGGATAAAGGGAAATGTGATTTGGTGGAGCAGTAGGAACACAATTGTAAACACTATTTTCCTTTGGTTGAAGCTAAAAGCTGCCGAATAACTTGCGTAATTATCAGAAGTTCTTGCAACAACAACGAAAAACTTTTTTTTTGTTAAATTATTGATTGTACAGTTCTTAGTGTATGAAAAGCAACAACTTTTTCACAATAAAATTGATAATGTTATGAGTAAAACAAAGCTTTGAGGTTCTTTGCATCCAACATGCTCTTCACAGATGACACTTAGTTACATATTAAAATATTTATTTGTTGATATTTACACAAATATCACTTTAATCGGAATAAATTATTAGGATGTATCAGAATATGTGTTGAGGAAAAAACAATCAAATTTCTATAGGTAAAATGTTAGTTTTTCACCTAGTACAGTGGTTTTCCTACTTATGAGGAAATTATGGAGCATTACACATGAAAAAAAAAACTTATTAATATTTGTTCTCTTGTTTTAGTCATAGCCATTATTTAACAAAATTAAAAATGAATGAAAATTAAATGGTACTACATGGCCATGATTTACCTAAAATAAGGGAACAAATGAATACAGTGTGATATTGATTTAACTAAAACAAGGGAATGAATTAATAAAACATGGCCATGCACAAATAAATCTTGGGAACACGTTCTTAATTTGTGACCAGACTATCTAATTTATTTCACACATACCATGTGTGAGACTCCGTAGAAAACACAGTGTCACCTACTAGACAAGCACAAAATGCAATTCCTATGCCATTCCTGCTAATGTTACCAAATCATTCCTCTTCCCATTCAGTAGAGAAATGATAGTTGGAATTTCCAAAATAAGTTACAGATTAATGCAATATTTACAAAAAAAAGGCATGTACAGTATAAAAATAAAGAATATATTTCACATATCCAAGGGCAGCGTATTCATCCAGTTTGGGTTGAAATGTGGTGTCTGGTCAAAGTCCTACATAACAGAAATTAAGATCAGAATGTTTAAAAATGCTTTCAAATGAGCAAAATGACTTTACAATAGCAACTTGAGCAGAACTGATCAAATCCATAAGCTCCATTTCAGCTTTACTCAATATATGATCTATAAATAAATGCTGTAGGTACTTTTTTCTGCTTTTACAGGCCATCACAACAGGTGAGATACATAAATCTAGCTTCCTGTCTGTTAAGTGGTTGTGGTGTCTGAAGGCACAGCCCCTGGCAGTAATCTTCATTAGGTAAGTGCCCTATTCTGGTGTTTGTCAGGCTAAAATCTCCACAATTGCAATATGTTTCTCTTTCTGTTGAGTACAGCATTTTACTAATGACAACTAGATGCAAGGAGGAAGCAGAACACATGAGAACAAGCACCTGAGGTCTGTAGGATGCCATTTCCCTTCTCTCCTTCTGTAGATTTTGCAGTTTATTCAAGAGAAATGCTTTGTCGTTTCCTTCCTGACAGGCAGATGGAAGAAGAATGGAGTCAGTGAGGTTAAAACTATTATCCATATATAGTAGCTTTTGGTGACACTGAAGTGCGGTGGATGCTAGAGTGAGGTTCGTACGATCTCAGCACTCACATTCACAATCCCCTCTCGCAGAGTCTTGATGAGCTGTTTCCGTCCCTGAGTGATTTGCCAGAGAAAATAAGTGATGACTCTGAAAGAAGAGAGAGAGGAATGAGAACAGATCAGAAAGTCTCAGATCTGCCCAGGGGGAGAAAAGGTTTCCTTGAATATCTGGCTGTAAAAATGGATGTTTCCTATGTGAGTAGTTCACAAAACATCCAGCGTGTGGACTTACAGGACGATGAGGCTAATCAGGTAGTAGAAGAGTTCACTTCTCAGTATGTTTTCAAATATCCACCCGACCCAGTGATTTTCAGGCAAAGAATCAGTCCAACTGAAAATTATGTGGAAGGGGGTGTCGAGACCCTGGAAGGGCCCACACTGATCTGAAGGCTTCAGACTGCAAGACAACCAGAAAAAAACTGTAACATTGGGGTCGGTTCACACAACGCATTTTATGACCCACTGCTTTTGAATTGTTTTTCTATGTAAACAATGCACTAGACCAGTGGTTCTCATCGTTTTAATGGCAGGGTCCCCCATTGTCCATAACAGTTTTCAAAGGCCCCGTGAACAAATGTTCATGATTTACTGGATAGGGATTTAAAAACTTTTTTAGGCTCCCATTATATATTTGGTAATTTGGCATAACTGCAAAATAAATGTATATCATTTAAATTGAAATGTTACATAATTTTTTACATATCTTTTCTACTGTACATTCAGAAGATAAGATGGTCTTATTTCAAATTGTTTTAAATAGTCTTGAAGTGCCCTTGGAAGCAATTCATCTAAACGGATGTCTTTGACCGTTACGCACCTCTCACTTTTTTTTTTTTTTTTTGAGTCTCACGCACAAGTGTCTTTCCTAAAATGCAGTATCAAGTTAAAAGATGTTCAGCTTTTTAAAAAAGTGTATCTTAAGACCCTGCATTTTTTTCCATTCCTCTGTGCTGCATCTCACATTTTTTAAAGGCAAGAATGCAAATGGCCTTGTTTACACAATGCAGCCTGTGGTTTAAAACACAAGGTGCAGTGGAACAGTCTTGAGACATGTTTCTTTTTAACTTGACACAGTTACCCATTTAGTTCTTTTCATGAACATAACAAGAAAAACAACAAAATTAAAATAAATTTGACATGGTGTTTTAAAAATATGGCACTTGCGGAACAAAGTGTCCATCGAGCGCATGTTTACATAAACAAATGATTAAAAAAGCAGCACAGCGGAATGCAAAAACACTTTGCATTTATTATATAAACTGGTGCCGCTCTATAGTCTGTCACCTGAAAAGCAGCTTATTAAGTGTTCCTAAAATGTAAGCACTGTAGAAATGTAACTTGGTAAGAAGGCAATTGAGGAACCAAAACTGAAAATATAAAATGAATGGGTCACACCTCCACACTGTGAATGCTACCATGGACAATGCTCCCACAAACGAAGGGAAGAAGAGTAGGGCAATGAAGACTGTTTGTATCTGAGTGGCTCTGCCAGTGTGTTTGGGAGGCTGACAGTTCATACTCAGACTGATCTGAAACGGGAACCATAAAACTAACAACATGCAATATAATCTTGACTGCAAGGACAAAGTGATGCCATAATGGTGCTTACCTTTTTCATGTAAAAGATGATAAACAATTTTAGGACTTGCATTACAGGAAGTAGGGGGGAGAAGTAAATTCCAATCCTGGGCAGACAGGAAGAGAGATAAAAGAGACAGTGCAATCAGCTGGAAGGAATATCAAAGTATAGAGCTGAAGAGATGCAGATATTGACTTACCAAGCCAGAGTCTGGGCATAGATCAGATCAAGCACATTCCTAGCAATGTCAAACTCTGGGACGCCAAGACTCTGGATGCACATGGCTCCGATTACACTGTAGCAATTTTGAAAAAGTGAAATGAAAGTGAATCTATTGATTCTGTGTCATGTGTAATCAGTAATTACTCTTCATATGGAAGAATCCACACCATGCACATGAATAGTACTGTAATGTAAACCATTTCCTTAGATTTATTTATTTATCAGTCTGTAAAAACAGAGTTAATAGTACAAAGTATAAGGCAAATATATTATTTACAGTGTACACTACCGTTGAAAAGTTTAGGTTTAGTAAGATTTTTTTAAAATAAATATTTAAAATAATTTTAAATACATTTTATTCAGCAAAGATTGAACAAAGTTAACATTATAGGTCTTTAAAATTTCACAAAATAATTTTATTTTAAATCAATACGGTTTGTTTGAGCTTTGTTTTAGGTTTAGTAAGATTTTTTTTAAATAAATATTTAAAATAATTTTAAATACATTTTATTCAGCAAAGATTGAACAAAGTTAACATTATAGGTCTTTAAAATTTCACAAAATAATTTTATTTTAAATCAATACGGTTTGTTTGAGCTTTGTATTTAGAATCCTGAAATAAAGGATGTCTGTTTCCACTTATAATAATAAGAAATGTTTCTTGAGCAGCAAATCAGCATATTAGAATGATTTCGG